AATTAGGGGTGTTAGTTCAGAGGGCAAAATTCAAGGCAGGGAGACCAGTTAGGAGGCTGCAACAATCCAGGGGAGCAATGATAGCAGCCAGGACTGGGGAAATGGCATGTGTTTAAAGAAAAAAAAGTAATAATAATAGACCAGAAGAATCAACAGGTCATATACCAAGTAGCCGTAAACAACCAGAAAGTTACAAACATGAGTGCAAGCGAACCCATTGGATTGGACCTTCTTGGAAACTGGAAGTGGTGGAGCCTTGTGCCATACCTCCAAGGACACTGCTGTTGGATACTGTTGACTGCCTCTTTCAAGAGCGGGCCCAGGCCCCAGGTCGGTAGCTGTAGACCTTTCCAGTCTCTTTCTCCTCATTCCTCCCTCGCTTGGGTTGCTGGAACCTCAAGTAGGTTTCCAGACCAAGTATAAATGAAAGTGTGGGTGAGGGTCATAAGAAGAGGAATCATGGTGGCTACAAAGCCTCATGAGAAGAGAAATCATGGCGGCTATCTCGGGCAAGACTCCTGCAACTCTGCCCAGAGCAAGCATACTCGAGCCCTGTCAGATTGATAAAATAAGTTAATTGATAGGACAATAAGAAAACAGAGGGGCCAGAGCAGATTTCTTGAACTTAGTTCAAAAGAGTGTTGAAAACAGAACTTCTTGAAGGACATTCCATTGAAACTACCATTATGATGGCCTTTTATCGACTTTAACCAGATCTGGTCACTCTCAGTGAATTATGGTGACCATGATGTTTGAGTTTCATGAATGTGTGGGTGTGTGTGTCCGAGAGAGGAGAATATTTGCCTTTATGATGAATGCACCTTATGAAAACTGGCACGGTGACATTTGTCCTAAACTAACCCCTCTGAGAACTCTCAATCCGGGAAGAATACTATTTCCTTTTCAACTTAAAGACGGGAACATAAAAAAAAAAAAAAAAAGACGGGAACATATTAGCTTAGGCTGCAGTAAAATGTCATGTTATGGCAAAACATTCTCTTCCTGTTAGTTGAAATTACCTGACGTGAAAAACATTCTCTTCCTGTTAGTTGAAATTACCTGACGTGAAATGCACAGGAAAAAAACTAAAACAAAGAAGCGATTTTATTTATTTATTTGACAGAGAGAGACACAGGGAGGGAGGGAACACAAGCAAGAGAGAGTGGGAGAGGGAGAAGCAGGCTTCCTTGCTGAGCAGGGAGCCTGATGCAGGGCTTGGTCCCAGGATCCTGGGATCATGACCTGAGCCGAAGGCAGACGCTTAACAACTGAGCCACCCAGGCGCCCCAAGGAAGCGATTTTAAAGTAGTCATTTCCACAGGTAGGGTTTGTAACCTATGAGGCAATCTGAACTGTCATCTTCCTATTCCTTAACTAGAACCGAGACCTAGAAAGAGGAACCACCCTAGGTTGGTGGAATCTCAGATCTCCAAGCAGGACAGCCATGATTTCCTATCCTTATGATTGCATCAGGACTTGCCACAGCACAGGTGTTTAATATATTGTGGTTGAATTTTTGAAAATTTATTTGTTTTATTCACTCACATATACCCAATGCCCAAGCACACAGTATGTGGTTGGTAAATATTTGTGGATTGAATGAATAACTAATCCCAGCCCAAACTATGACACATTTGGTCCTCTGCATTCTTCTGCTCACTGTTCTGTGACTTCCCCATTTTGATGACGTTCCCTTCCTTCCTTGTGCTATCATTTAAGAAACAGCAGTTATGTGCTCAGGCTCTGGAAACAGAACCTGTTTTCAAAACAGACACTTAGTTCTACTACTTAATAGGTGAACAGTTCGTTTCACCTGTCGTGTCGATTTCTTCGCTGGTCAAGAATAACAGTACCTAGACTGGAGAGCAGTTGAGGGTGGGTGGTTTACATCAGACACAGCACCATAAAGCATGAGTACAGTACTTGCTAGGTGGTAAAGCACTCAGTAATATTGACATATATGGTGGGGTTTTTTTTTAACTGCAACCCCATTCAGACCTTGTACTTCTCCAAATATTAGGATGCCCCCACACACAAAAAAGCCAAATAAGCTTCCAAACTGGGTTTTGCCAAACCCTCCCAGCTTCTGAAACTGTTTAATGTCAATTTCATTTTGCTACAAATATAGTCGCTATGGGAAGGGGGGAAAATGCTGAGAAAGTGTGTTCCCCACCTTTTTTTTCCAATAAGAGCAGGTTCACTTGGATTTCTTTTTATCAGAGATCTTTTGAAGATTGAAAAAATTTCCCCTGCTAGAGTCAAAGTTTGAAACCATGATCCCATACCATGTTGCTTCTCCTCATCCATTTTAGTAGGCTATGAAGAGAGCTAGGTCTATTCCTTGCCAGTAACTGGCTGGGTTATCTTGGGCAAATCACTTCTCCGCTCTCAGCTCCTCATTCCATTAAATGTGTAGTTTGGAAAGATAATGTTTACGGTTCATGTTTTCATGTTAGTTTTAGTTCTGGAAATATGAAAAGAGTTGGTTTTGAATAGCTTGATAAATTAAAGCTTTCTCACCATTTAATTTCAGTAATCATTTAGCTACAATAACCTGGGGCACGATATATACACAGAGACGCGCTGAATATTAAATGAGTGATTTAATTGTTGCTTAAGATGGTGATTGGCTGTACTCTGGAGGGGCCATGCTTTGCTTCCTTGTGCTGTGCTAGGGTCTAACAGCTGTTTTCTACTAGCTGAGGGCCTGGAAAAGTGACAAGAGCATGATTCAGTACAGTAAATGTCACATTAGGAGAAGTCTGGATGTCTTGCTTATTTACCAAAAAACTGTGAATCCAATTAGCCAATCCTACCATTTATATTTCCCTTGCATATCCCAAATCCATCTCTATCCTCCTTTACTACCACAGTAGACCATACCACCATCTCCTACTCTCACCCTAGGATGGCTTCCTTAGGGTCTGCCTACTTCCACTCTTATTTCCAATCTGTTCTAAATAGATGCTCATTATTCCCAACCACCAGAATGAGCGTGTTTCTTTCAGGCACTATCATACATTTGGTTCTATACCCATGTGGTTTATTTTGTTTCTTCCAGGAGGCTGCGAGCCCCATGAGGACAGAGACCTTTCTTATTCACTATTACCCATACCTGCTCCCCAGCTTGTGCCTAGCCCAAGAAGCCTTTTCATAAATAATCAATGAATGACTGCTCAAAGGCTCAGAGACCATGTCTTAATTTACTTTTGTGTTATCAACACCATGGCCAATGCTGATGCAAAGCGAGCACTCGATTGTTTGTTCCATGTGAGATTCATTTAATGAAGGGATGACTCTCCTCTCTGGGTTTTAGACAAAACTGTTTGAATCTTTCCCACTTTGCCAGCTGTGTGACTTTGAACCTGGATTTAACTGCAAAATGAGCTAGTGCTTACTTCACAAGGTTGCTCTAGGATGAGCAAAGGGCTCTGCACGACATCTGAAATAGTGTGTATTCATAGTATCCCCACTAGCACTGGGGGAAGGATCAGGGAAGAAGTCTAAAAGAAAGTGAAGCCTCAACTAGGAAAAACAAACAAAAAACAACACAAACCAGCAAGTTTTACATACAAAAAGTCACAACTTCCCTAAACTACCTTGCCTTAAGTATTCATTTGTATCCAACTTTCTATTACAATTGTTGGAGAAAGGGGCATGGTGGTGGGGGTGGCTAGTCAACTTTGTTGTTTTGCCCTGTTGCAGATCCCTTCTAGCAATGACTTAACAGCCACCTGCCACTTGGAGTTGTTTAACTATACAGTAGGTAGTATTAAAAAATGTAGCGGTGCTCACAAGTACTAGGCAACTATTCCGAATCTATCCATTTAATGCATCATAACTGAAACCCTTCAGTGGCAGGTGTTAGGGTAAATTGTTGAACCCCCAAACACAGCCTGCAAGGATCTAGCCTTTGGCCACCATTTTTGCCTCATTCCACCCCAATCTCCTCCTTGTTCCCTGAGCTCCCAATATATTTTCTTTGAATTTCAGCCACAGGACCTTTGCACATGTGCTCCTCTGTCTGGATGACTCCCTCAGTTAACTAGATTCACCTTTCTAGCTGTTATAAGCTGTTATATACTGCTATATATATATATAGCTGTTATATATTTCATCAGAAACTTCCCTGACCTCCAGCCTAAGTCCTAGAACCTTCCTTCAACTCTTTCACAGTAGGATTTCACTTTGCAATTATACACCCAATTGTGTGGTTATTTTGCTTAATGTTTGTCTCCGCCCATAATCTGTACTGCATGACTAGGTTACCAGGTATATGCTCGGGGCCCAGAATGGTTCCTGGCCTGTGGTAGGTGTATCAGTCAGTATCTGTTGAATGAATGAATAAATGAAAAGTTTCCAGGACTAGTGTAGGGATCTGAGTACCCAAGAGAGGAGGCCAGATCCCTGCCTCCCCTCTCCCCCTGCAGTTAAAGAGTGGTGTTGGGGACACAGACCAATAAACACAAGAGTACCCTGCGTGCAAAGAAGCTATGTCCCGTGCCTCCTTCTAGCTGGTGGGCGATTCCTTGAACTAACCCTTCCCCAGCCAGAGTGTTCGGAGGAAGGGGTGGGCTTAAGGGCGGATACTGAAGGTGATCGATCCCCTGAATAACGGTCAGATCCCGGTGGAGCAAGGCTGCAGAAGCCCACGCTGCCGACCTCGGGCAGGCCAGCAGCTGACCTCTCTCACCGTCCCTAGTACCCACAGTGGCGCGCCCTCGCCAGCGCCCCGGCGCTCCGGCCAATGCGCCCGGGCGCGCCAGCTGCACCGGGGCCCGGGCGCGCGCGATTGGCAGCCCCCAGCCTCAGCCCTCCCGCCCCACCCCCGCCGACGAAGTCCGGCCCCCGCCCGCTTCGCGGCGGCCGCCGCTTCCCCCTCGCTGCCCCGGGGTTGTCCCGCGCGGGGCCCGGATCCGGCAGCGCGTTCCTCCCAGGCGCCCCCAAGCAACCGGGTTCGAGACGCCCGCCGTCGGCGCACTCCCCTCCCGGGCCGGAGCATGAAGGTCGAGTTTGCGCCGCTCAACATCCCGCTGGCGCGGCGGCTGCAGACGGCCGCGGTGCTGCAGTGGGTCCTGTCCTTCCTGCTGCTCGGTAAGGGCCCCGTGCGCTTCCGGGCGCTCAAGATCCAGGCCAGGCTCCGCGGTGCACGGGGCCTCCGTCTCTCCCTCGCGGACAGTCCTTGTCCAAGGACGTGCTTAGATCCTCCAGCCCTTCTTCCCGTGTAAGCCAGAACACGCAGGTCAAAGAGGGAGTTCGAACTCGACCTAACCTGGGACTCTTTTGGTTTCTCTCCGCACTTGCACCTCGTAGGGAGCGACTCTTTGGCAACTGTTTCCCCTGTGCCTTTTTTTTTAATTGATGCGTACCTTACCTACCGTAAAAGGCACAGATGATAATTATACAACTTGATGACTTTTGGCAAATGAATACACCCAAAATGTAACCACAATCCAATCGAGCCATGGAACATTGCACTATATGGCCCCGCAAATGTTAGTAAACTCGTTTCCTGAATTGTCGATTCATAGAAAACCAATGCCCGAGTATTTACAGCCTGATTCCTTCCTCATCCCACCCTTGTGACAAATAGCCGTATTAGCTTTTCCGTGTTTAAGATCCAGGTGCAGAAAGGTACCTTTGTACGAGGAAGGCTGCAGCAAACATCAGTTTGGGTTGGGTGGCTTCTTATGTAAATAACTCGACCCACAGGTGTGTTCTAGCGGGTTCCCAAATTAATCCCATTGAGAAAGGCACCTTGAGGCAGTCACTAGATGGAGCAGGGTGGCTTAACCTGAGCGCTTTTTTTCCTGGATGTTTGTTCAGCTCTTGGAATAAATGGGGGATGATGGTATGAAAAGAGGGAGGAATTACCGAGAACTTGCCCTCTTCTGAAGGCTAACATCATTTGTATGCTATACTAAGATCATGGGTTGTACACTGTGGAAGCCACAGTAACAGTAATAATAAACTCATTGCACTGTAGAGGTCTACACTTTTTTGAAATGGTTTCACATTTTGAATGCTTAGGTCAGTGGTTCTCAATCCTGGTTGGTTGCACATTAGAATCACTAGGGGAACTTCTAAAAAAAATACAGATGCCCAAGCTCTATCCCTAGAATCTCTAATTCATTCGTTACAGAATGGAGCCTGTGCATCATATTTTGTATCTATGTAACCATATAAATGTGTGTGTGTGTATATACACAAACTTTCCAAGTGACTCTAGTGTACAGCTAGGGTTTACTGAAAAAGGAATTTCAAACTGTGAACTCATTAAGTCCTCACAGGCCAAACCGTGAGACAAGTGTGGTAGCATTACACTCCAAGGAGCAAAGGACCATTGACATCTAACAAACACAATTATTGAGGGCTTAGTGTGTGCCAAGTCCTATTCTAAGCACCATACACTATTAACCCTGCGATCTTCACAACAACCCTATGAGACAAGTAGTGTTCATCCCTGCACTCATTGGACAGATGAGGAAACTAAGAAGTGAAGTAAATTGTTCAAGGTCACAGTCGGAGGAGCTGGACACAAACCCAAGTATTCTGCCCAGGGTCCCTGCTTTCACTGCTGGGCCACCAACTCCAGTGGCTTGACTTGGAGACTGTCTTCCTTGCCGATCAGTCGCACATCTCTGGTGGCCCACGGTCCTTTTCTTTCATGGCACTCATCATTGCTTGTATTTACACATGTCTGCGGTTACTTAAGAGAGGTCTGTATTACCAGCCTTGTCCACCAGCTCAGTGAAGGAGCACTCAGCCCATGCCTGGCCCCTGGAAGGCAAAACTAAATACTTGGTTAAATGACTATCTGCACTCTGTCACCCGGAAGGGAGGCTCTCCACCCCATGTGTCTCTAGTTGTATTAACCTGCATCATCCTCACAGCAACGCTGTGACATAGGCACTACCCCGGTACGCATTTTACAAATGAGGGAGCTCAGAGGTGAAGTCAATTGGTCAAGGTCACATGGCTTTAAGTAGGTGGGAGAGTCACAGGTGTCAAATGTGAGTGAACTAGTGACTTAGGTCTGACTAATGATTCTTAATTTGAGTCAGACTAGAGTGGCTTGCAAACCTTTTTAAATGCTTTTATTGCATGCATTTGACATTTGTGTTGCTGGGAGCATATTATTTTGTACTATATATAGCGGTAATTTTATTTTGAAAACTTTCCAACATGCAAAAAGTAGAGAGAAGCGTATGAACTCTCATATACCAGTTACCTGTGTTTATAATTATTTTAACAATTTGCCATATTAGTTTTATCTATTATTTTTGCAAACATTTTAAAAACAAGTCACAGTAGAGAGCCTGGGTGGCTCAGTCGTTAAGCGTCTGACTTCGGCTCAGGTCATGATCTCAGGGTCCTGGGATCAGTCCCACATCAGGCTCCCTGCTCAGCGTGAAGCGGGCTTCTCCCTCTCCCAGTCCCCCTGCTTGTGTTCCTTCTCTCGCTGTGTCTCTCTCTGTCAAATAGAAAAAAAAAAAATCTCAAAAAAAATAAACAAGTCACAGTATATTTTAATCCTGAATACTTTGGTATGCATATATAAAATTATTTTTTACATACTCATAGTACACATGTAGCATAATTAACAACCATTGCTTAAAATCATTTCAACTAAGTTGATATTTCCTAAACTGTGTCAAAAATACACTTTTCTTGGTGATTTATTTGAACCAGGTTCCAAACAAGACCCTTGTGTTGCATTTGGTCTTTACATGTCCTTTAATTTAGAACAGTGTTCCCAGTTTGTTTTCTTGTCAGTGAAGCACTAAAGAAATCAGGTTATCTGTCCTGCAAAGATTCTCCCCTTCAGGGTTTTCCTGATTGCTTCTTTGTAATGTTAACCTGTTCCTCAACCCCCTGTATTTCTTCTACAGTGGAAGTTAGATCTAAGTCTTGATTAGATTTATTTATTTATATTTAATATTTTATTTATTTGAGAGAAAGAGAGCACAAGTAGGGGGAGTAGCAGAGGGAGAGAGAGAAGCAGGCTGAGCAGGGAGCCCAATGCGGGGCTCAATCCCAGTCCTGGGATTGTGACCTGAGCTGAATTCAGGCAGACACTTAACTAATTAAGCCACCCGGGTGCACCAAGTCTTGGTTAGATTCAGTTGAAACCTTTGTGGCAAGGCCTCTTCCCAGGCACTGCTGTGTGCTTCACATTGCCTTGTCAGGATGTACACAGTGTCGAGTTGTTCCATTAGTAGTGTCTAAGCGTGATTGGTGGGTGCAGATAGGAAGTAATCTCAGCGCTGGTAATTGGCATGTGCAAACAAAAGTTCTCCATTGACCATTGCCCTTTCACCTAGTGGTCTCCATTAACGATCCTTGCCTGAATCAACGGCTGTTTGGGACTGCAAACTGGTAGTTTTCTTTTCTGTCATTCGTTCTTCGCATACTAGCTAGAATTTCTTCAAAGAATAATTTTCCATCATCTAGGTCCGTTTGATTACCCTACAATTCAATTCTTCCTGGAAAGGTAGGATAAGTGCTTACTTATTTTTTTCCATTCAATTATCAATCTTGAAGGAAGGAATTGATGTAATAGCTACTTTCAATGGTGTCAAGAGAGTTTTTATTACTGTGTATTTTAAGATCTCTAAATCAAAATCTTGGAATGCATTTTTCTTTCCAGGAAATGAGTTTAAACTATTAGCCCTTGAAACTTTAAAAATCGCAAAATGTTTCATTTAGTCATGAAATCAAACACTCTTTCCTTGAGATAAATGTTAAATACCTGTCATCCAGTCTTATTGTATTAGTTTTAGGTGGATGACATAATGATTTGATACGTGTGTTTATGACAAAATGATTGCTACAATAAGTTTAGTTAACGTCTATCACCACATATAGTTTCAAATATTTTTCTTTGTGATGAGAACTTTTAAGACTCACTCTCTTAGCAACTTTCAAATACAGTATAGTATTGTTGGGAAGCCTAGGTGGTGGCTCAGTCAGTTAAGCAGCTGCCTTCGGCTCAGGTCATGATCCCAGGGTCCTGGGATGGAGTCCCGCATTGGGCTCCTTGCTCAGCGGGGAGCCTGCTTCTCCCTCTCCCTCTGCCTGCCTCTCCCTCTGCTTGTGCACTCTCTCTCTCTCAAATAAATAAAATCTTAAAAAAAAAAAAAACAATATAGTGTTGTTGACTATAGTCACCATGCTGTGCATTCCATCCCCAGGACTTACTTATCTTATAACTGGAAGTTTGTACCTTTTGACCCCCTTCATTCATTTTGCCCACCCCTCTACCCCCTGCTTCTGGCAACCGCTAATCTGTTCTTTGTATCTATGAATTAGTTTTTTGTTTTTGTTTTTGTTTTGTGTTTGTGTTTGTGTTTTTCTGGGGGGAGGGGCAGAAGGAGAGAGAGAATCTTAAGCAGGCTCCACGCTGGGCATGGAGCCTGATGTAGGGCTCAACCTCCCAACCCTGAGATCATGACCTGAGCTGAAACCAAGAATCTGACGCTCAAGCGACTGAGCCACCCAGGCACACCTATGAATTAGTTTTGTTTTCTTTTTAAGATTTCACACACAAGTGAGATCATACAGTGTTTATCTTTCTCTGTCTCACTTTTTCCACTTAGCATAATGTCCTCAAGGTCTATCAGTGGTATCACAAATGGCAGGATTTCTGTCTTTTTTTTAATGGCTGAATAATATATATATATTATTATAGAAAATCACATTTTCTTTATCCATGGGCACTTGCGTTGTTTCCATGTCTTGACAACTGTAAGCAATGCTTAAGTGAACATGGAGAGGGGCAGATTTCTTTTTGAGATGTTGATTTCATTTCCTTTGGATAAATTCCCAGAAGTGGGATTGCTGGATCACCTGCCATCTGATCTTAATATTCAACAAACTGAAACATTACATCCTAGCTTGTGGGCCTCCAGACTGCTAACTGGAAAGTAGGAAGCTGACAAAGAGAGTGCCATCATTTGTTGACCATCTTCTACGTATAACTGCTTGTGACAGAGATGACTACATTTCCTTTTTTAGATGAGAAAACTGGAGCTCAAGAGGTTGTATTTTGCCTAGGATGGCATTGGATTGGACCATGATCTTTTACTGTATGGGTTTATTTATT